AGCTACCTCAGTTCTGAACTATTTCTTTCCAACCCTGAGTAAAGGTAAAGAAGAAAGCCACAAAGCATGGAAGAATCTACAGGTATCAGGGTCACAGGAAGGTTCCAACACCCGTTAGCCCTCATGGGGGAACAAAGCACCCTTCGATTTCCTGGCTGAGTTTCCCATCATCCTGTAAATGGAAGCTGGATTATTGGTTGGCTATTTGTATCTGGGTCTCGTGTACCAATGCTAGGCAAAGCAGCCCTGTCCTGTAGGGAAATGGTGGGCCCTGAGCCCCTAAATTTCATCACAGTATTGGACAGGTCCTGTAGAGGTAGGCAGGAGTAAAGGGGCCTGTGCTATAATGAGCAGTCACTGCTTTTCCTGAAGACAAGAAACACAAGCTCCTGTGTAGCTTCCAAGTCACTCGCCCAGGAATTTTACTTTCAGAATTTTTAAGCAGACCTACAAATTATGTGGTAAAGGGTCCCACATGGAGAGAACTACAATAAGCCAATGGGCCTTGAACTATCTGGTTGGGGGCTATTATGAAATAAGAAAGAAAGAGAGAGAGAGAGAGAGAAAGAGAGAGAGAGAGAGAGAGAGAGAGAGAGAAAGAGAAGAGAAGAGAAGAGAAGAGAAGAGAAGAGAAGAGAAGAGAAAATTTGCCTCCATTTGGCCTGATGTTAAAAAAAACAAAATTCGAAGTTCCTTTCTGTACACCTACCTCCCAAAATGCAGCTGTGGTGTGTTCTGGAAACATTTTTTTCCCCTTAGAAGTTTAGAATAAAGAATTATACAAAAAGCATTCACTGACCATTTCCATTCCAAGACTATTTTTTTCTTGTCTTAGTAGCAGGTACTTCCAGGGTCTCATGTGGAATCTTGTCCCCCCAAGACATCCCCTCACCTGAGAATGAGAGTCAGATCACCCAATGAAAAGGCAAAGCAGTCGACACTCAGCCTTTGATACCTGCTCTTTCTGGTGACTGCACTGCCAAATTGGGTGTATGCACAGTGCCCCCCAAACTGCACCATGTGTACAGTCATCTGACGACAGATACAGCCTTCTTGCTCACCCACTTAGGAGTAGAAGCAACACACCCTGACCCAGCCAAACCCAAACCCACAGGTCTCGTGGGGAGCAGCCAGCTGGCCCCTGACAAAGGTATCAATGAAACCTAGCACCAGCAAACACTGAAGAGAGCATGCTGGCTTTGGCCAGCTCACCCAGCTACCACTAATAAATATTTGTGAATGGCCAGAGCTGGGAAGCCTGGGCCACCATGGTTGGGGAACAGGGCCCAAGCCTATGTCTGTCTGTGCTTCCAATGGCCCTCTGGGCTCCTTGCCAGGCAAAGAACATGGGCCTACTGTGGTTGTTTCCACAAAAGTCTCTGGGAATTCAGCCCTGTGCTCCTGGGAAACTGGACCTGGGGCTAGATGGAGGACAGACTGAAGGGGGCCTTCCTGGTCCCATGATGAATAAATAGATAGGTCTGGCATCTTTGAAAGCCTCAATGGGCTTATCTATAAAATGAGAAGAAAGGAGGGTGAGGATTCCGCTCAATGATTGAGCACTTGCCTAGCATATGTGAGGATTTGGGTTTCATGCACACACGCATGTACGCACATGGAAAGGTTCACAGTCCACATGCACACACAGATGACAGACCCAGCAGTCACTTTTCCTGAGAAGGAGGCAACTAAAAAAGAAAAGGCTTCATGCCGCATCCTCCAGTGCTGCCTGTGCTCCTGCTCAACTTCCAAAGGCAAAGCTGGGTCACCGCCAATGCTCCTCTGTATCTAGTCCTCCTTTTGGACTCGTCTTAGCTGGGGTTACTATTGCTGCAATTAAACACCCATGACCAAAGCATCTTGAGGAGGAAAGAGTTGATTTGGCTTATATTTCCACATCACTATTCATCACTGAAGTAAGTCAGGATAGGAACTCAAACAGGGAAGGGGCCTGGAGGCAGGAGCTGATGCAGAGATCATGGAAGGGTGCTGCTTGCTGGCTTGCTCCCCACATGGCTTGCTCAGCCTGCTTTCTTATAGAACTCAAGACCACCAGCCCAGGGATGGAACCATCCACAATGGCCTGGGCCTTCCTCATCAATCACTAATTATGAAGATGCCCTACAGGTTTGTTCGCAAAACCGATCTTAAGAAGGCGCTTTCTCCACTGAGGTTCCCTCCTTTCAGATGACTCTAGTTTGTGTCAAGTTGACATAAAACTATCCAGCACAGTTAGGGGAAAGGAATCCAATGGCAGGCAACAGGCAACTGTCTCTGACAGTCTCTACTCCAACTATTATGGAACCCATATGAAGACCAGGGCCTCAGTGGGAGAAGGCCAACTGACTGGATGTCCCAATGTGGGGTGGTACCCAAGGGGAGTTTCCCCCTCTCCTCAGAGAAGAGGGGGGGATTTGTAAGGCTGGGACTGGGAGGAGAGGAGTGACAGGGGGGATGTAATTGGGACGTAAAGTGAATAAATAAATTAATTAATTTTTAAAAACTAGCCAGCACACAGTAGGGCTACTTAGCATCCCCTCTAGCCTGTGGATGGCCCTCTTTACTCATGAGACACCATCACCCAGCAAATATGAGTCTGGAGACAACTACTACAGTCTGTACACTCTTAGCCAGTACCATTCTCTCAGGGTTGGGGTGGGCGTGGCAGGGGCCAATCAGATTGGTCATTTCAGGTCAACCGACATCTCCAGGTGAAGAACAGTGAGACCTGGGTGATTTCTTTCTAAAGCCCTTGATGGCCAGCCATGTAGAAATGATGTCCTCCTTCAAGAAGACAGAAGTTATTTGCCTTTTTTCTTTTCCCACTCGGAGGGGTGGCTGCTGGGCAGAAAGAGAGAACTCCCAGGGATGGTAAATGGGAGGTGGGATTCTCTTCAAGACAAGCTGGGAAGAGCTTGTCCTTCAGGGATCTTTCTTAGGTCATGGCTATGAGGCACCTCAAATTTTTAAATAATGATAACAAGAGTTGTAAGGAAATTACAACAAAGTTGTAGGGAAATTGTCAAGGTTTCCCTCTGGGCCACACATACATACATACATACATACATACATACATACATACATACATGCATACATAGCCCACATTCAAAGAACAGAGAAAATGGAAGGATATAGGGCCAGCAAGTTGAAAGTAACTGAAAAATGAAAGGAAGATCAGAAACATCACAAAATATCACTAGGCCCTCAGTGACACTAGTGTTTTGTGTCTTCTAGCCTCTGACCCAGTGTCAATCAAGGCCTTGTACGTGCTAGGTAAGAGCTTTGCTGGGGAGCTTTAGTCCTGCCTCCAGGGCCTCCCACACACCAGGCAAGCACTTATCACTGAACTCTATTTTCAATCATCTTTTCTCTCGTTTGGCTTTTCTTAAAATAAAAAAATTAATGTATTTGTGTGTGTGTGTGTGTGTGTGTGTGTGTGTGTGTGTCTGGTGTGCGTGCCTCAGCCTGTGTGTAGGTCAGAGGATAACTTTTGAGAACTGTTTCTCTCTCTCCACCGTGGATTCCATGGATTGAACTTATATTGCCAGATCTGCATGGCAAGTCCTTTCGTACACTAAACCATCTCACCAGCTTCTGAGGTATTTTTAGTTTTGTTTTTTATGTTGACATAATATTTGCACTTATTATTTGACAATTCTAACATGCATACAATGCATCCTGTTTGGCCTTTGGAAACAAAGGTCTTTGTCTGCAATCCCAGGATAGCCTGGAACTCACTGTGTCATCCAGGCTGGCCTTGGGCTCCTGCCTCCGCCTCCAAAGTACTGAGGTTACAGGCATGTGCCACCATGCCTGGTATGATTAACATTAATGAGAAAGAAATAACACCTCTGACATAGAACTACCTACTTTCACATTTTTAGAAGGAAAAAAAATAATTATCAAGTGAAGATTGAAACTGGGCTTATAACAAAGAAGCAAATGCTTGACATAAATGAATCTAGTTTGTTTATAAAGTGTAATTGCAGCTGAGGATGTGAGATCTGAGGTAGATCCCAAGGCATGGGTTCATTCTTGAAACTGTCATGGCTTTCTCTTGGTACCACCATATCGATATTAAGGGGCACATAGCCATTCTCAGCTGCAACTCCAGTGACCTCAGGGTTCAGAAGGCAGCCTGAGAAAAGGCACCCTGGGAGGGACCAAGACTGGACATAATGCTATGAGTGTAAGACACTTCCTCATACCCGAGCCTACAGGACACTTCCTGCCCCTGCCCCTGCCTTATACAGCAAAATCTTCTCATCATGTTTCCTGGCACAGAGCTCAGCTCTGCCACTGGCTCGTGTCTGCTCACAAAGCACTGTCATGTAGTTAAGGAACAGCACTCAGCCTAAAACAGTGTGTTAAATATCCATCCACATTCCTACTCCAGAGCTGCCGAAACAGAGCCACCACTGGGGGGCTGAACATGGGTCTTTTCCCTCACCGTGCAGAGGTGTCAGCACAGTGAGGCTCTCCTGAGACCTCACTTCTCAGTTTGCAGATGACAACAGATGCCTCTGTGCTTGTGGCATCTTTGTGTGTGTACAGACTGCTTCTTGTTATATGGACCCAAGTGGGCTTGGATTAATTAAGGGACACACCCTGGCAACCTTATATCTTTAAAATCCCAATTAGCTCTAGAAAGACACATTCTGAAGAATGGAGTGAGGGCTTCAACACATGAATATTATCAGATAATGCTGCTTTCAGAGGACATAGCTGGAGGCTGGAGGGCTCACCACATCTTCTGTTGGTCCTCTTAGATATTTGTTTCTCGTATTACATACACAGGCACACTGTGTGACACGGATGAAGTGCTGCTTTTTAGAGAAAGCTGGGCTTCTGTTCTCTCTGATGGCTCATGGGAGGGTTGGGATAACTATTGAAATGACTGATGATCCAGGCTCTGATCTCCTGTTCCATTGTTTGGATGAAGGGGCCCTATCAGTTCACTATGTAACCCCTCTTTTCTACCTCTCTACTCTTCTTTATAGACGGCAGCAAAGACCTCCAGGAGGGAACAAGCCCCAGCAGCATAGTGACCATCAGCCAGGCAGTGCCAAACACAACAGGGACCACCAGAAATCTTACCAGGGGGGCTCAGGGCCCCACCCCTCAGGGAGGTCCACACACCATGGCTACAGCCAGAACCGACGCTGGCATCATGGCAACATGAAGCATCCGCCAGGAGACAAGGGAGAAGCGGGCAGCCACCGCAACGCCAAAGAGACCGTAACCGTTGAGAACCCCAAACTTGAAGATGGCCCAGGGGACACCGGACACAGCAGCCTTGAGCCCCCCTGCAGCCCTGACACTCTGACCCCAACAGCTTCTGAGAGGCCAACCCCTCAGCCACCAGGGGGGCCAGAGGCTGAGACAAAGCATAAAGACACTGTTCTTCCCGAGCGTCTCGGGGAGCGCCCCAAAATCACCCTGCTCCAGTCTTCCAAAGACAGGCTGAGACGAAGGCTGAAAGAAAAGGTACCAGTAATTGAACTTTCCTTGTTCTCTTGCTGAGGACAGCTGAGAGGTAGGCACTTGGGTGGCTGGGCTGCGGGTGGAGCCTCATCATCGGGACGGGCTCCTCTCTAAAGGGAAGAAAGGCGTCCGTGGCTGAGTGGACACACCACGCCAGGTTGTCATTGCCATGGGGAGCACCGCAGGGCAAAGCCCACAGCAGCTGTACTTGAACCCTTCCAACACATACTGTTCCTTAACTTCTGCCCTACAAGAGATGTTGGGGACACAGGGAAATCACTAGATGCTGCGAGGCAAGGAGCTGGGTCCTGTCAGCCCTGCTCAGGGAATCTAAGTTTCCCTGAAGAGATAGTCTAGAGGGGACTAGACAAGAAAAAGGTGGTCACTTCTGACCCACTCTCACAGGCCACTCAGTTCTCGAGTGGGAGAGCAGCTGTTTATGCACCTTGACCCTACATGGTAAGAAGAGGCTCCAGTGTTCTCGTAGTGTCTCCATGTCACCCCAAGGGAAAGGTGGCTCAGAGAAGGATCCACCTCCCCAGAGTGCATGGCCACAGAGCTGGAGATGGAGTCTTAAGCTCCACACAGAACTCCCAAGTTAACAGCTGAGGGCCAGCAAGGTTGGGCCACAGGTCTGTTCTGTCATACGGCTTGAAATAACTTCATAACATTTTCTGCCTTTCCATTCTGTGGCCTTACCCCAGTTACCAGCCACTCTCCTAAGGTCATAAACAGGTTGAGGTTTTTTTTGGGGGGGTAGGGGTTGTCTGTTAATTTTCCTCAAGGAGCACCAGCCATGGGGATAGCACATTGAAAGATCTTACTGTACAGTACCTGTGTACATAGGGACAGCCAGCACTGGCAGCACGGGATGCTAAGCCAGGGCCAAGTCCACATGGAGCCATTCACCTGAGAACATGGTGGTCCATGCATTTAGAGCAGACACCTGGCAGCTACACCCAGGCCATGCCCACACCACCACAGGTGTTCTGGATCCTACTCTACCCCAGCTTGGTCTCCCTCACCTCATTTTCTCTTTGACCCAGTTTTCTCTTTATCATCTCTGATAATTCCCACGGAATCATTTCTAGACTAAGGGATCTGCTGGATAAATGGGGGGGAAATGTGTATCTGAGGATCCTGGGTAGGGACTAGAACTCACACACAGTTCCGGGTATCAGAACAGCTAAGGAAAAGGGTCTGCAAAGCGCAGTGTGCTGTGAGGGTCTCTGGTGGGAGTTGCACTTCCTCACACCCTTCTTTCTGGATCTCCCTTCTTCCTTCAGGACATCCCGAATCCCACTGAGACTTCAGCTCCACTGAGGTGTGTTTTATGTGTCCCCCATGCCCCCCAGGACGAAGTCGCAGCAGAGACCATCAGCCCTCAGCCAAACAAGATGGACAGGTTGATGGAGATCCTGAACAGCATGAGGAATAACAGCAGCGATGTGGACACCAAGCTCACCTCCTTCATGGAGGAGGCACAGAACTCCACCAACTCTGAGGAGATGCTGGGAGAGATCGTACGGACCATCTACCAGAAGGCGGTGTCAGACCGCAGCTTCGCCTTCACGGCCGCCAAGCTCTGCGACAAGATGGCCCTTTTCATGGTCGAGGGGACCAAGTTCCGGAGCCTGCTCCTCAACATGCTCCAGGTAACCAGACACCAACAGCTGCTGCTCCACTCCCCTGCCCCTCCGATGAGGGTTATTGCTAGAGAGAGGGCTGCAAGTTCTGATGGCAGTTGAACTTGTCCCAAGTCGCTTCCTCCCTTGCCTGATTAATTATAGAAAATAAGCAGGCATCGAGGGGTGAGAGATGAGCGGCTAGATTTGGGTGTGTTTGTGTGAGCGCTCCATGGTTACGGAGGACCAATATAATTTTATAGGTGCTTTTTGTTCGACCGCCCTCTCTCTCTCTCTATTTTCACGATAAGAGGCTGGCTATTGGCCCTACGCTTTGACCTCTACGTGTCTGAGCGGTCATGAACTTGCCGTGGACCTGGCTCTTCCCCCTCCTTCTTCCTGGCCTCCCAACTTCCCCCTTCTTCTTTTTCTTCTCCTCCTCCCTAAGGATAGCCCTCAAAAGCTTGATGGCTATACCCTTGGTAGAGCTGGGATAGAAACGCCTTGTGGGACAGGATGAGGACAGCCTGTCTGTTGATGCACCGAAGCCCAAAGTAGAAAGAAAGTGTGGCAATCCAAGATTTTCTTGCTGCCTGGTACCTTTCCACCCAATCTCCCTTTCCTTCCAGAGAGTTCCCCCTCATACTCTTATTGCTGTCTGCCAGAGACCAGGGTCTAACCACAGTCCCATAGGCAAGTATATGATGAGTGTAGACCAGTGTCTAACCACAGTCCCATAGGCAAGTATATGATGAGTGTGGACCAATGTCTAACCACAGCCCCACAGTTGAGTGTATAATAAGTGGGGGCACATGCACCCACACTGAGTCTGTTATATAAGTACCTGCTGTGTATGGTAACAGTTGACTGGTGACCCCAGATCTGGCAACATCAGGGAAGACATGACAGTGGAGTATGACATGGTGACCATATCAGGCCAGAAGGCCATCTTTGGAGACTCTGGATGGGACAAAATGTCTTTCCTGTTCTTTTACACAACAGAGCCCAGTTTAGATACAAATTGTGTCATCAGGTCTACCTGGTAATGCAATTCCTTGGAAGTGAGGGAAGAGGGAAGCAGGGGACAGAGCTAAAGGGACCACTGACAGTCATGGTGAGCAGGGTGACCATATACCAGATTATCCTACCGGTACAGCTTCAGAGAGTCCCCTCATAATTACACTTGGATGACAGATGTATTCAGGGCACCTGGCCACCTGGTTCATGGTTTGCAGTGTCGTCCCCAAAAGCAGAGGGGAGATCCCTGCTGGCCCACCTGCCTGTGGTGCACTGGGCCCCATGCCTCTCTGTCCTCTTCTGTGTGCGTCTCACTGTCTGCAACCTGAGCCTCCCTGGCCAGCCTCAAGCTTCTCGCCAGCTCCAGGCTCTGATCAGGTTGCCATTCCTGGATCACCCATGCTCTCCTGGTGATGAATTCCCGCATTACCTGAGGGATTTGCACATCGGCATGTTCCTCGCGGGCCGGAATGTCCTGGGAGAGTGGAGAGGGTGACAAACAGGCAGGAGAGGCTCGTCTGCCATGCATCACCAGGCATGGGGAAGTCAAGGGCAGGACTGGCCTCAGACTTGGTTTGGAGATTTTTTGTTTTTTTCAGAGGAGGGTCAGAAATGGAGGACAAGCTCTAGGTCATGGCTGCCAGCTGCCAGCAATCCATTCAACCCCACAGCAGACAGTCACACAGGCCCGTGGCACCTGGAAAATAAGAATTATCTGCAGAGACTACCCCAAGATGAGTTATTTCTTCAAGAACCCAATGGTAGCTTAAGTTAGTGAAGTCTTACTATGTGTCCTAGCTAACATGCCCGGGTGAAGTGAGCATGCTGGGACACAGTTGGGTGGGCACTGGGGTGAGTAACACTGAACTGAATGCTGGAGAAGCAGAGGCTAGGCCTGGTTCAGGTATCAGCACTCAGGGCCTTGAGAATGGACTCTAGTGACTCCCGTGAGATGCTCCTTTTCTTACTGCTCCAAGGCCTGGCCCTGAATGAAGCAGTCTTAGGTTTTCCTGTCCTTGTAAACCGCCTTCCCTCACATTGTCACTCAAGGATGAGAGTGACTTTTTGACCAGCCCCAGAGGCCAGCTTGTCCCAGGGATACTCACATCCTGCCCCCTGCTCCCCTCCACCACCCTACAGCTAGGCTGAGCCTCCAGCTGCACTCTAGTGGACAAACCTCTACATCTTTTAGAAGTCACTTCTACCCAATACTCAGCCCATTGCCAGGGCCACTCAGACACAGATACCACCCCCCTGGGAGATTAGCCAGAGTCTCTCACTCTGTTTCTGCAGCATTCTGTCCTTCTCTGCCCCAGTTACCTGTCTCCCTGTTCTAACACATGATTAGCACTGACTGGGTGTCCAAGGACACCAAGCAGCAACTTTGGAGCCAAGGGTTTAAACGTATACAGCAAAGACAGGAACTTCATCTAGTAACCCAGGAACCCACAGGGACAAAGGAGTGCATGTAATCATTGTCCTACTTCCCCGGACTCTGACAGGCAGGCACCACCTCTGCTGTATGCAACTCTGTGTCTGCCTGTCTGCTCAGTGACAGTGTTGACTGGTCACAGTCATGGAGCAATGGCTAAGGCAAGAGGAAGGCCCCAGAAACTTCCCTCTCTCTTCTCCCAGTCAAGAATGGAGACCCAAATGGCAAACAAGACTCAGGTTGTAAGCTCCAAAGGTGCACCCTCCTGGTGACCCATAGTAGCAGGAAAAGGCCCATGCCTAACTGGAGGATGTGTGGTTCCTCTGTGGGCCATCCCCATCACCCACTTCCTGTGAGCCAATGTGGGAACCCTCCGAAGGGTAGAACCAGAGGCTTTGCCTTGACACTTGAGCCTCTGGTAAGATTGTCTAAAGCCCTTCAGGCTCATAGAGGCGTATCTTAGCTGTGCTGGGTGAGGTGCCTGAGTACCCATGGATCTCTGCTTATGTGACTGAGAGGAAGCTTCCTTATTTGCTTGAGCATCCTCAGGCCCTGCTGTTTCTCCCTGCAACCAAGGAGAGCAGGCCTTTCTGAGAAAGTGGCCTTTCATAGCTGCTTGCCACCCAACCAGGGAAGTCTAAATGAAGGAGCAACAGACCTGGGGACCCATGTTCCCTCTTCACACCTCTAAGGAAGTCTGTCTTCACCACTCTCAGAGCCCCTCCCTCCCTTCTTTCTCCCTGAAGTTCCTGATCTCTGCCAGCTCAATCCCACTTGACTCTGGATCCCCAGCCGTTCAAGCTGGCAAGCTCTGAGCAAGTTGTCCTAGTGTCTGATGTGGCTACCATACAGGCTCTGAGGCCCAGCTTAGTGACATGGGCTGCAAAGGGACCAGGTGTGAAGTACCCTGTACACACCCCTCCCAGCAGCTGTCTCTGGATGGGATCCTCCCTGGCTGAGTATTCTTGCAACATGGGCTTTGGCATGAAGAATCGGCAACATGGCCGAGAGAGGGTCAACCTTTAATGTGGCTTCAGCACCCACAAAGTAGAGAATGGGGTGTGGAAGATAGTCATAGATCCTCCCCATAGAGACTTTCTCCATCACCATGTCAAAAAACCTAGAAACACCGATTTCCCTCCTGAGTACCATAGGCCTCAGTGGAGCCCCGTCACCAATTCCACAGTTCAAAATTAGTCAGTTTTTACATCTGAACTGGCTCCAGTCTTTACCTTAGATATGGGTCCCTTCTTAGTAGTGTGCTCATAAGTGTTCAAAATTCTATTTGAGTGACTATTTAAATGTCTATTATATGCCTATAGTCTGCACTATTAATCTGTATTCCTGCCAAACTTAGAGTGATGCTGCCAGGCTGATCTGAGCCATACTTTTCAAAAGCATTGGATAGTTTATAACGGAGGGGTCACTTTAATGTTTGGGCAAGCAAAGAAACAGACTCTTAGCAATATGGCTCTCCAGCCTGAGAATGCTACACTTCAGACCTCTGTTCTATAGAACAGAGACCCTCAGCCATTGTCTTTTGGGATCCCATGGAGAGCTATGGCTTTGCCCTGGGGTTCTCCTCAGGTCCAGGCATAGATCTGGACATCATGTCATAAAGAACTCATTTGAGCCATGTGAAGTGAACATCACTGCCAGGAAGAAGGCCTAGAGACAGCAGGAGCATCTCGCCCTTGTCTCTTACCAACTGGCCCCTCACACAAGGAGCCAGCTCAAACTCATCTTCTCTTCTGTGAGGAGCTGGGCTCAGCCATGTTCCTCACCATCCTGAGACTCCCCCACACTGGAAAGAGGAGAGACCCTCTCCTCTCCCACAGGGTTCCTCTGTCCCTGCTCACACCTTCCTATTCCTTCTTCTTGGCCTCTGCCATTTGTTGGTATGACCATTATGTGTTTTAGAACAGCCTCGCTTTCACCCCCAGTGCTGACTAGGCCACCCACTAGAGCTGGCGACCACCACCTCTGTGGCTCTGCCCTGCCAGTGAGGCTCCCAGATCCTTCATGGGCCGAACTAGCTAGCTTCTGCACATTGACTGTTAACTCTTATTGGAGACTGCAGGCTCCCCCAGACCCAAGCAACCAGAAAAGCTCCCTTGATGCTCATCAAGGAACTGCGGTGCAATACTGGGGAGAGCGAGGGCTCCGGTTTCATGGGGAAGGAAGAATGAGTGAGCCTCTTTTTATGGGACCTTAGGAATGACAGGAATCAAAGGCTTGAGCCCCCTCCACCCAGAACTGCCTGGTCACCGCCCTCTGCCTTACCCTTGAGCTTAGAGAGGGCTCTTTTGCCCAGATCTGCTTGGGTAGTACAAGTTCAAGCCCTCGTCTGTTGAAATGTGTGTGCCCTGTTTAGCCAAGAGGTGTCTGCATCTGAGCTATGCAGAGAGAAGTATTATTAGAGCAGGCATCAGTGTGCCTGTAACTGAACCCAGCTCTCCCTAGCAACTGTTGCTAACAACACATCTAACAGAAGGATGTGATACCTTTTAAAAAAAAAAAAAAAAAAGGGAGGGGGGAATCTCTTCATCTAGACCAAGTCATAAACACAGCGGGGTTGTTG